AAATGAATTTTTTTCTTCCCAAAGCAAGAAGCAGCGACGTTTTTGCAGTCGGGATCATCGTATACAAACTCGTGCGACTTATTGCGTTGATAATTGATGTCGCAGTGACAGGTTTTTTACAACATTTTTTATGTCACACCTTGCGAATGGACGCTGAGACTTTTTCCCTCCTATTGTCGCAACGACCGGTCGCTTACTACCTGATTATTAATGCGTAGGCCCTAATTTGCAATCCGGCTGCCTTGTTTTTTTTTATTATTTTTTAAATTTTTTTCTGAAGGTAAGGGATAGAAATGAACACACACACACACAAAATGGCTATGCTTAGAAAATGCATTTTCTTTGATTGTCATGTGACTGTGTCTTTCCTAGGTTACGTGGATGTTTTTGCGCAGGCTCATTTCCAGACAGCGACTGGTAATCGAGTCTAACCCCCCCATATTTCGTCACTCGGGGGTTACTTGACGATATTCACTTTGCCATCAGAGAAAATTTATAAAATATTTTGATTTAACTCTCAAATTCACATATGACTTTTGTAACGGAAATTGTGTTATATCGGCTATTTGCGCAACCCTCTTACTACTGTTGAAATGGTAACCTCGTCAAATAAAACGACTTAGTTGAACAGGTCATTATATCACCATGATTATTGTATGGGCAGTAATCCGTGCAAAACATAGTGATTTCTCATTGCGGAGCATTCGCTCACGCTTTAGAAGGAGTGAATAAAATGCCAACGTTCTACTTACAAAGCTCAACTTTTATACTAGTTTGACTTTAAGCCTTTATCGGCCAGAAGTGATTAACATGTAACTTCTTCCTAAAATATCCGTACCTTCTAGAACAAACAAGTAATAAGAATACGCAAACTGCTCAGGAAGGGGTTGTTATCTTGATCTAACTCCAAATTCTCATAACTAATTTCCAAGCAAACACGTAGTAGCAAGAAGGGAGAATTAAAAATCAAATCTCGGGAGTTTGAGTTTTAACCGTTGGAAGTGTATTTCCTGAGATGTTTAAGTCTCTGAGTTTAAGCAGTTGATCTAGTTATAGGGGTAGAATTTTTCCGTTTGGCTTTGAGGCAGTGGGCTTAAAATGGCAGGGACTTAGTCAGTAGTTCGACTTGCCTACGTGTAGTAGTTGATGTTGAGTGCTTAATATTTATAGGCTGCTTGACTGCAAGATTTGGCGTTTCCGGTTACAAGTTTTGGAAACGTGCAGGTGAAATCGGACAGTTTGGACTTGAAAGAGCTCATCAAGCCACAAATAAGAGCTGTATTACAATTACAATGGAGCGTTTTTTTTATTTACACGATTATATTTCGAATTATTTTGGTTTTATCAACTGAGTTGATAATGTAAATTGACCATCGTAAAGAGTTTCTGAAAACTAACCTTTCGAGTGTCAGCCCTTCGCCTTGACGAAGGGCTAACTTTACAAAAAGTCATCTTTAGAAACTCTCTACGATGGTCAATTTAAATTATCAACTCAGTTGATAAAACCAAAATAATTCAAAACATAATCGTGTAAATAAAAAAACGCTCGATTGTAATTGTAATACAGCTCTTATTTGTGGC